CGCTTGACAGTATAAAGCTTGGGCTCGATTGTGGTCGTAAGTGGAGGACTACATGTACACGCCAGTTGTCACGGGCCTGAATTTTAATCATGTAACTCCCAGAGAACGTGAGAGGACTGGTTGTGAGTTGTGCTTTTTGCAGCGCCGTGTAATTTTGAATAATTGCTAAGGGAGTGGTTTTAAAGTGGAAGAGTACCTGTGTCTCCGCACAGGTAGGCAAATGTTTATAAATCAAGGACTATATCTCTGCTTGAAGGATGAGGTGGAAGCAGAAATTATAAAGCCAGATTGGTCTTCCCTAGGTGAAGGACGCAGTGTGTCATGCCCCTGTTGGAGTCTTAACTCCGAGGGAGAGATGGAACAGCTGACAGGGAGTGGGAGTGGTTGTGGAGGAAACTGGGGAAGGGCACAAGCCAGATGAGCATTCAGAGGAAGACCCAGGCCCATCCCCTCTTCATCCCAGGGCATGCAGGGAGGAGTGGATTAGTGAGAAACATGAGTGGCTGGTCTATGGGGGAGGAAGGGGCCCTGATCCCCTTCATGGGCTGCAGCTGGGAGGACTGGTTAAAAGGACAAACTGCGCATGGCAAAAATGCTGGAAGCAAAGCGTGCATTGTTGTTGGAGCTTCTCTGTGTTTTGGCTTCCTCTCAACAGTGGTTGCTGCGTTATCTGGTAGAAGTCTGCAATTGATCATCCTTGCCTGCCCGTAGTAATTCCTTCAGTGTAGTTTGTTTTGGTTTTTTTTTTATTTTGAATTAACTTTACTTTGGGTGTGGACTGCATTTACTCCCTCCGTAAACTGTTTCCTTTAAGAGTTTTGATATCCTGCCAAGGATAATTGCACTTTGGGGCCAAGTTGGAGGCATTAAAGGGACTTCCTTCTATTTCTGTGACTTGGCTATTTTTGTGTCACGCCCTGGCTCGTCCCACGTTGGCTCAGTGACTAAGACGCCGAGCTTGTCGATCAGAAAAGTCGGCGGCTCGAATGCCTAGCCCCCTGTAACAGAGTGAGCTGCAGTTACTGGTCCCAGCTTCTGTCAACCTAGCCGTTCGACAGCATGTAAGAAAAACGCAAGTAGAAAAATAGGGACCACTTCGATGGGAAGGGAACAGCGTTCTGTGCATCTTTGGATGTTTAGTCATGCCGGCCACATGACCACGGAGACGTCTTTGGACAGCGCTGGCTCTTTGGCTTTGTAACGGAGAAGAGCACACTGCCCCCTAGAGCTGGAAATGACTGGCACGGATGTGTGAAGGGAAGCTTTAGGTGAAGGACAAAGCTTCTTCCCCCATCCCACACAGAACAGTAAATATCTGTCATCCCAGTCGTTGGTTGTCCCCGAGGTGCTTTTTCAAGAGGCAACTGGACTTTTTCTTTGGAGAGGTTTTATTTCTCATCCAAGAAGCGTCTTCCGCGCGGACTGAACCCCCAGACATAAACTGAGCAGCGTGGTGTACACAGTACAGCACAGTGAGCCACGAGTAGATCTGTACGTTGGGGAAACCAAACAACCACTTCGCAAGTGCATGGCCAAACATAGAAGAAAAAAAAAAAACCCCAAGATTCAGTAGTCCATCTGCATTTAAAAGACAAAGGCCACACTTGACAGACAGCAAAGTCCACATTTTGGACAGAGGGGACTGCTGGTTTGAAAGAAGGATCTCAAAGAGGCCATCTATGTCCAAATTGAACACCCCTCTGTCAACAGAGAGGGAGGGGTACGATATCATCTGTCTCCGGCCTACAACACGGTCCTTTCAGCAGTTCCAAGAAGGCTCCACACCCATTTGCACCACTCAGGTGACCCTAAGGACACAGAGAAACCTCCAAGTGGCCTCAACGACTCTCTATAAAGGATTCAGATGACCAGCTGTCTGCAAGGAGTATAAATCCTTCCTTTCCCCACCATCCAGTCAGAGCCGAAAAAGCTCCTTGGATGAGAAGCGAAACGTCTTCAAAGCAAAACCAGAAAGTCCAGTTGCCTCTTGAAAAAAAAGCACCTTTGGGATTAGTTACTTCTGATAGGCAGCCTCGTCTTCAGACAGGGGCTTTTGCTTTTAGCTGTCTGAAACAGGGATTATTGGACTGAAATGTTGGCGTGTGGGGAAGGTACCAGGCTAAAAACCAGGAGATGGTGAGTTCTAGTCCTGCCTTGTGCATGAAAGCAACGGGGTGACTTTTAATCAATCCCCAGGAGAGGGTGAGTTCTAGTCCTACATCAGGCAGGAAAATGGTAGGGCCACTTTGGGCAAAATCACCAGGAGTCGGTGAGTTCTAGTCTCCCCCTTAGGCATGAATGCCAACTGGATGGCCTTGGTCCAGTCACTTTCTCTCAGTCCACCTCACAGGGTTGTTGTGAGGAAAATAGGAGAAGGAAGGTGTGTTGGATTTGTTCTCTGCCTTCAGGTATTTGTAAAAAATAAGGAAGGGAAGGAAAGGAACAGGAAAGGAAGGGAACAGGGAGGAAGGATGGAGGAAGGAAACAGGAAGTGAGGGAGGAAATAGGAAGGAAGGAAACAGGAAGTGAGGGAGGAAACAGGAAGGAAGGAAGGAAGGAAGGAGAGTGAGAAGGAAGGAAGGAGAGTGAGAAGGAAGGAAAGAAGGAAATGGAGGAAAGAAGGAAACAGGAAGGAAGGGGAGTGAGAAGGAAGGAAACGGAGGAAGGATGGAAGGAAACAGGGAGGAAGGATGGAAGGAAGGAGAGTGAGAAGGAAGGAAGGAAATGGAGGAAGGAAGGAAGGGAACAGGGAGGAAGGATAGAAGGAAGGAAACAGGAAGGAAGGGAGGAAACAGGAAGGAGACTGCGGAGGAAGGAAGGAGAGTGAGAAGGAAAGAAAGAAGGAAACGGAGGAAGGAAGGATACAGGAAAGAAGGAGAGTGAGAAAGAAGGAAGGAAATGAAGGAAGGAAACAGGAAGAGTGGGAAGGAAGGAAAGAGGAAGGGAGTCAGAAGGAAGGAGAGTAAAAAGGAAGGGAGGAAGGATGGAAGGAAGGAAACAGGGAGGAAGGGAGGAAACAGGAAGGAAGGAGAGTGAGAAGGAAGGAAACGAAGGAAGGAGAGTGAGAAGGAAGGAAGGAAGGAGAGAGGAAGGGAAGGAGGGAGCAAAACCTGAAGAAACGTTCACGGAGAAACATTCTCCATCTCCAAAACTAGTAGGACCCATAAGTCACCCAACAAGCTTGACTGGAAGGAAATTCAGAACAGGCCAAGAAAGGACGGGTGTCCACTGAATTTCTCCTCAGGGATCTCCCACGCCTGGGGCTTCACCGCGACTGAAAAGTAGGCCTCTTTGCTGCCGTGCCCATTGCGTTATAATTTTTCCTTTCCTCACAAGCCTGGTGTACCAGGAAAGGACTGAAGGGGAAATCCTCACACACGAGCCACACCCAGGTCTGCGTAACAACAGGGAGAGAAACACAACAGGAACACTCGAGAGTCACTATCCCTGTCAAGCTGAAAAGGGTCCAAGAAGGCCACCCCAAAAGGTGCTTTTCCAAAAGGCAACTGGAGTTTGTTTTTCCTTGAAGACATTTCGCTTCTCATCCAAGGAGCTTCTTCCGTTCAGTTCACAGTCAGAACTGAAGAAGCAGCTTGGATGAGAAGCGAAACCACTTCAAGGAAAAACCGAGTCCGGTTGCCTTTTAACAAAGCACTTTTGGGACTACCGTGATCTGGAGGACTGAGAATCGCCATAGACACACAAGGAGGCCATTGGTCAAATCTGGGATTTTTTTAAAAAAATTGTGTCTTAAAGGTGCCAGAAGAACACAAGGTTCTTACAACCAAGACACTATTTAAAAGGGATAAAAATCCAGAAAAATCCTGCAATTCTAACAAATTAAGTAAGGGCTTTCTTTTAAACGAGACCCCATTTTATGTCCTTCCTTGCCACAATTGTGAAGCGAATCGCTCCAGTTGTTGAGTGAACCGTGCAGTCCTTAAGTGAGTTTATCGTTATTCATCGCACAGTCAGCCAGATGTTCAGACTGGGTTTGACCTTTTTGTCTACCTATCAAGTCCTTACCCAGGACCTGAGAGAGGGCAAATCTGGATGTTTGACGGTGTTACAGATATCGCTGCAGAATGGAAGCTGTGCCAAGCAAAGCTGCCTTCTGCAATTGAACGATGGCAAATTTGTCAATGCCACTGATGGTGTTCAAGTGGTGCTGCAGTTGTTTTGGGACTGCACCCAAGGCACCTATTACTGTTGGTACCACCCTTGCTTGTATTTGCCATAGTTGTTCTATTTCTATTTGTAAGTCTTTTGTATTTTGTTATCTTCTCCAGTTCTTTCTCTTCTCCAAGCTGTCACAAGCACTGCCACATCCACAACCCAGACATTTTTGTCTTTCTTATCAACAACTGTTAAATCCGGGGGTGTTACGTGGCAGGTGCCTGCCTGTCTGGATTCTGAAACCCCAGATCAGTTTAACTGCTTCATTTTCTAAGACTTTTTCTGTTTTCTGGTCCCACCAGTTCTTGCTTACAGGCACATGATATTTCTTGCAGATCTTGCAATGCACCATTGTTGCCACTTTGTCATGCTGCTGCTTGTAGTCAGTTTGTGCAATCTTCTTGCAGCAGCTTACCAGGTGGTCGGTCCACTGTTTCTTCAGCTTCTTGGACCAACAGTGGACGTCCTAGTAAGCGACTGCAAAAAGATTGCACAAACTGACTACAAGCAGCGGCATGACAAAGTGGCAACAATGGTACATTGGAAGATTTGCTGTTGTTGTTGCTGTTGAATCCAGCTTTGATTTTGACTTTGCTTGTCCAAAGCTGGCTCAGAAGGTTGCAAAATACGTATGTCATAAATGCATGCTTGTTACCCAGCGCTCAAATTTTGACCACGGGATGTTTGCAATGGAGGGAAAAACTATAAGTCACTTTTTTTTCTGCAACCTTGTAACTTCAAACAGTCAGGAAATGGATGGTTGTAAGTCAAGGAGTATCTGTAAAAGCCAAGTCTTACTATTACCAATTTTTTTCCTTCCACAGGTGCAGGAGAGAATCTCGAGAATACCATGGCAGCATTTCGTCAGTGAGTATAAAGCTTGACTTTTCTTTTCTTTTTTAAAAGAAATTATTTTTATAACAAAAACAACAACAAATAAAACCATCTTTCGGTTCAACAGTGTGTCGGTTGGGTACATATATCTTGCGCACATAATAATATAATACATTTCTTACTTCCTTATATTTATAACCAAACTAATCAACATTTTATATCATTTTGGACAATTTTTGTTTTATCAATAACCTTATACTTATTATTTTTCAAGAATATATTTCGTCCTTATTAAATTATATTCATTTTCTTACTCATTCAATATCAATCAATTATAATATGTTATTATTAAATATTCCCACATATTTCACTTTCTTACTTTTCTGGATCATATTACCATATGTGGTGGACATGCCTTGATGCTAAAAGATATTGGAGTAGAATACACACGTGGTTGGAAAAAAATGATAAAACAACATATAGATATAAAACCGGAGATATTTTTATTGGGAATTTTTTGCCTGAAGATCATAACAGAGAGATCACATATTTGATTATCAATGTATTAACAGCAGCTAGAATTGTATTTGCACAAAACTGGGAAAATGAGAAAATTCCGACAGAGGAGGAAACAATTAAGAAAATATTGGAATGTGCAGAAATGAGTAGATTGACAATAGCAATTAGAGAACAGGAAGGAGAAGTACTGTAAGATTTGGAATTTATTTTATGAATGGTTAGACGGAAGAGTAAGAAACTGAAAGATGTGGGGAAAAGCCTGACTTTTCAAAACAGTTCGAGGCGCTTAGCACAAAATTTCTCACACCTGCCCCAATCCCGATCTTTTAGAAAGGAAAAGCCTTTGACTCCGTTTGGTTAAACAAAGGGCTCTTTTACTAAGGATATGGGTTGCAGTCAATTTAAGGCTGCTCTGAAATCTCCCGCGCTCGCTCGATACAGGTGAGTCCTTGGCTTGCAATCGCAAATTGAGGCCACAATTGACGTTGTTAGGTAAGAAATTGGTTTGCCCCATTTTACAACTTTCCTTGCCACTTGCGTTAAGTGAATCATTGCCGTTGTTAAACCAGGCAGGGGTAGGATGCTGCCGGTGTAACAACTGGCCCACTAACCGTGCACATGCGCACCAGATGTGCAATGAGTGTGCGTGCACAGCTTTTTGAAATTACTTATCTTTAATGTTACTTTCAGGATTCCGGCAGTTTACCCCCATTTAAATCATGAGTCCCAAGCCAGACTTCCAAAACTTCAAAAGGATTTATTGGAACAATTAATCAGTGAAACAACTTGCCTCCTAGGAGTTGTGAATTCTCCAACACTGGGTGTTTTTAAGAAGAGATTGGACAACCATTTGTCTGAAATAGTATAAGGTTTCCTCCTTGAGCAGGGGGTTGGACTAGAAGACCTCTTAGGCCCCTTCCAACTGTTTATTCTGTTCTATTTCTATTGTATTTTGAATTTTATTTCTATTCTATTATTCATCAAGATTCTATTCTGTTCTACTCTACTCTACTCTAATCTAATCTAATCTAATCTACTCTAAGCAATTCCTTCAGAAAGAGATTTTCTTCTCCATGGCCAGAATGTCAACTCATAAAATATTTCTCTGGGTTTGTAGAGTTGCCAGCAGAAAGGGGAGCGGGGAGCAGCGCACCAGCTTGCAAAACTAAAACTGCATTCCATAAATGTTTTCATAGATAGTTTCTAGGCTATCGAAGTTTCTGCCTCCGTAAAATTCTAACTGGAGAGTATGATCGATGACTCTTGGCTATGGATGTGTCCCATGGGAGAATATGAATTATGATACACCCAGGGGGTGGGGGTGGGGGGGAACCGAGCCAAGGGTGACAGTGAATGATGTGTCTCAGAGTCGGCTACACCCAGGTAGCATTGGCATGTTTGCTCCTAGTAAATCTTTAAGCTTTGAAAATCCAGCTAGTGACTCATGATTTAAATGGGGGTAATTACCAGAGCCCTGACACAGAGTTGACTTGTACCCTGTTTCCTTCCTTCGTTCCTAGTCCCCACTTCGTGCCCTAGGTGGTGAATGCAATTTTCATCCTGTTGTGGAAAGGTTTTTTTTTTTCCTGTTTATGGCAAGAGAAAAGTAGCGTGCAAGTTACAACTTGCCTAGAAATCATTAATTTAAGATCAACATCTCCGTAGAGTAGCTTAAGAGAGAAGATTAATTTTGTTTCGGGGACAAAAACACTTTTTTTCTCTCTTGGTGCACCTGACCTCTTGGCTGTGTTTTTTTTTCTGGTTTAGAAGTCCTAATAACTTGCCGTTGGTTTTACGCAGCTGTAATATTTTGCAAGAATAGGAACACTCTAGGAATAATCCTCAGATTTAAACAGCAGATAAATCCCTGGGCTCTGTAACCAAACCTGCTATGAATGCGGACAGCGAGATGAGTAGCATAAACATTTCAGAAACGAAGCCACAGAGAAATAAATAAATATGAATGCCATTAGTACAGGTACTCCTCGAATTACAAGTTTAGTGGTGGTTCAAAGTTACAGCGGCACTGATAAAAGTGACCGGTGACTGTTTTTCACACTTAATGACTGTTGCAGCGGCCCCGTGGTCACATGATCAAAATTCAGAGGCTTGGCATGCTTATGACTGCAGCTGTGTCTCGAGGTCATGTGATCTTCTTTTCCGAGCTTGGCAACTGACTCATATTTACAACGGATGGAATGTCCCCGGGGGGGGGGGGGTGTCACGTGATCCCCTTTTGCAACCTTCTGACAAATGTTCCCTGGTGCTTACCCCGTTTCCCCGAAAATATGACCTACCCCTTAAAGTAAGTCCTAGCTTGATTTTTACATGTGCTCCCAATATAAGCCCTACCCCCAAAATAAGCCCTAATTAAGATCTCTCCCACTCCGGAGTGAGTGGGTAAAAAATTAAGCTGGGGTGGGGATGGGAAGGTGGAGCCTCACTCCTATTTACCTTTGGACAGTTGTAGCCAGGCCTCGCACCTCCTGACACGTGCCTTGCCGGCCCATTTCTTCTGCGGCTGGCAAGGCTTTCCTGAAGGCCTCTGGAGCTGATAACAAAGCTCTGGATAGATCCTGAGCTCTGTTATCGGCTGCAGAGGCCTTCAGGAAAGCCTTGCCGGGTACAGAAGTTCCTGAAGGCCTCTGACAGCGAAAAGGAGGCCCAGGGCAATGCACACAAGTGAGGTTAATCAGTGGATGACATCCCCCCCCGAAAATAAGGCCTGCTGCCTTTATTTGGTGGCAGAAAAATATAACACAGGGTCTTATTTTGGGGGAAATATGGTAGTATTCAATTCAAGTTTCTACAGCATGCATCACCTTGGTTCTCAGTTTACAAACCTCGGTTAGAATTCGCTTATCTATTATTTGTATGGGCTGGAAGTCCTTGACTTACGACCGCAGTTGACACCAGAATGTCCATGGGTAAGCAAAGCCGTTGTTAAGCGAGTCCTGTTCAATTCTGTGTCCTTTTCTTTTCTTTTTTTGCCACGTTTGTTAAGGGAACCTCTGCAGTCGTTAAATAAACTGTGGTTTGTTTTTTTTAAGCGACTTTGGCTTCCCTCCATTGACTTCGCTTGTGAGAAGGTCACGATGGGTGATCCCTGCATTTGTTGTCATAAATACAGATAGTCCTCAGCTTAACAATGTTTAGTGACCGTTCAAAGTTACAATAACACTGGAAAAAAAAGTGACTTATAACCATTTTTCATAGTTACAGTCTTTGCAGCACCTCTGTGGTCACTTGGTCAAAATTTGGATGCGTTGGCAACTGACTCATATTTACAACGGTTGAAGTGTCCCCCGGGGTCACGTGATTCTCTTTTGCGACCTTCCAACAAGCAAAGACAATGAGGGGGAAGCCAGATTCACTTAATAACCATGTTGTCATACTCCTGTCAGAACCTGAATCCGAGGAGGAAGACGAACAGCTGACAGGGAGCAGAAGTGTGGCTCCATTGGCTGTGGAGGAAACTGGGGAAGGGCAAAGTCCAGCTGGGCAGAGCAGGAGAGAGGTAGAACAAGGGAGAGGGAGTTCAGAAGAACACCTAGGCCCACCACCCTCTTCATCTGAGGGCACACAGGAAAGAACGGAGAAGAGAGCAATGTGGCTTATGGGGGAGGAAAGGGCCCTAATTCCCTTCACTAGGCGCACCTGGGAAGAGAGTTTAAAAGAGAGGCAACTGAGGGCTGTGTTTTCCAGGAACAAACATGAGTTTATCTTGTGTTGAGTGCAGTTGTCTGCGTTCCCGGCATCCAGACTGGCCTATTTCTCTTCTGGAACTCCTTATCTTGCCCTGTCGGATTAACTACCTCATCTTGCCTTGATTGGACTTAAAAAGTTTTCTCTTGACCACGTTTTGGACTTGATTCTCTGCCGCCAAAGTCTCTTCCTGGGAGAGTTTTTTTCTCCAGCCCAGAAGGTAACCAGGACCTCGGAAACAAAGCTTAGAGCTAATAAAGGGACTCCTACTTATGATCTAGCCGTGTTGCTTTTGGGCCACGCCCCTTTGGGTCATCACCTGTGTAACACACTTAACAACTGCAACGATTCATTTCACCACGGTGGCAAGAAAGGTCATACAACGGGGCGAAACTCACCGAACAGCCACCTCGCATCTGCGGAATGAACATCAACACTGTTGTCTAGATTAGGAGCAGGGTGGGTGGAACACAGAAAGAATTTTCCTGGGCTGTGTTTCTTCAACCTCCTCTGCAATTACTCAAGGAGCAGGCCCCCTGAGTGACACTTATGCAAAGTGCCACAGGTGTTGGCAGAGTGAGTAACGCTTGTATAAATAGAAGGCGCGTGTGCTCTTCCTAGGCCCTTCCAAAGGCGAAGGATCCAGGCAGACTTTGTCCCTGGAGGTACTTTGCTCCACTTAAAACGTTCCACCCCCTTTTTAAATTTTCAGCTTTCACATTATGTTTTAATATTTAATGGGCCATCACCCCAGAATCCATCTGGGAAGGAAATGATTCTTTCAAAAATACGATAAACACACAAGTCAG